CCCCCATACACGCACACATGTATACATACACACACACACGCACACATGTATACATATGCACACACACGCACATATGTATACATGTATACATACACGCACGCACACACATACACACACACTCTCTCTCTCTCTCTCTCTCACACACACACACACACACTCCATTTTATTCCCCCCACATCTGCTGTGTTCCCACACACATGATACATGATGTTATATTTCCTTCGAGCACGGCATCGATTTCCCTTGAGGCAGACGATTTGACGACTTCCGGTCTTTTGGTTTCTGGTTTGTTCATCATAGACTTACTAGATAGATAGATAGATAGATAGATAGATAGATAGATAGATAGAAAGATAGAGTATAGCAAGCAAAGATACTATCTTTGCATTAAGTGAATGGGTTCGTTCCAAGTCTGGCGGACACGCTGGCTTCTGACGGAGGGGGACATGTTACTAGAATACAACAAACAAAAAAAGAAATATATATAGGCCTATAGATTTTATTAAATTATATAAGATAGGTGTAGTCTTTGGTAGATGTTAGTATAATAAATGTTACTATTATAAGTAGCCTATAAATAAGATAGCCTAGATGGCAAGCGTTTGTCAACAGTTTTTGCAGCTGTGACGTAGATCTAAGTCTTCCTCCAAGTTCCCGATTATTTTGTCACAAATTCCAAGCTACAATAAACGAGGTGAACACAGGCGTGTGGGGAGACCTGATCAGCTCGGGGATTTGCCAGACAGACAACTGGTCCCGGAAAACTGAAAATAAATCATAAGCCTACTTGTATTTATTTATTATAGCCCACTACCCTAGAATTGCCAATAAATTGTCGATCTGACGTTATTGGCCGTTTTGAGTTACTACAAGAAGACCGTGAGGTCAGAAACCTTCTATCCCCTCTATCTGAATCGTAAGATTATTCGGTACTGTTATCAAGTCATTCAAAATGCTTTCGAAAAAGCTTGATGTGAAACTCAGAATCTTTGACGTCAAATTTCTCAAAACTACGTACCGAGCAGACCACCATCAAATAGTGCCACATCTACAGCAGACATCGGCGATCATGGCCACATCTACAGCAGACATCGGCGATCATGGCCACATCTACAGCAGACATCGGCGATCATGGCCACATCTACAGCAGACATCGGCGATCATGGCTCTCCATTCTTTTCTTTGTTCGGCGGAGGCTCTTTAAAAAAGTAACACATGTACGAGTATTGCCCTGATCCGACCCCCCCCACTCCCACCCGTTACCCATCTGTTTAGATCTAGGTTCTCCAAGTAGGTTGCTCTGTGCCTACCCTGCCGCGTTTGCCTTCATTCAATTTGGCCAGCGGGCGGCTAGATCTAGATGTTCAAGTTCAAGACCTTTATGTCTATCTGGGGGTCCCAAAAACTGCATAATTTGTCTTTCCCGGATTGTTTTTATCCATGAGCGTCCCACGTGGGCTGCTTCAATAGATGTACCTCTTTTGCTTTCTTTTCCTTCCAAGATATTCCCAGACTCATTATAGATCTACATATTTTCTTCTATTGGCTTGAACATCAGTCTAAAACAAGCACAATGACTCAAGCTGGACAGTCAGAATGATGTAATATAAGGATGCTTGTATTGATGTCATCAGTTGGTTTTTTGCATTCCAAAGTGAATAGATCTATTGATTCGCGGCGTTTTACATGTTCCCTTATCAGTCACAGTTTTGGTGTCAGGTCACAGTTCATCTCGAAGGTCAAGGTTGGGTGAGTGAATAAGGATGAGGGTTCCTAACATGGCGGAGCTGCAATTCGAAGCTCCGCTGGCTTCTTTCGAAAATGAAGAATGGAGCGAATACAACGAATTTCAGGGTGCAGACACGGATAGAATGAAGTGCAATAATGGTTTACAAATTCCAAACAGTGACAAAGAACACACAGAGACGGATGTAGGTGGGAATTATGGCGAGACAGTGGCCGGGTCTCTGGAGGATTTGGTGAACTCATTCGATGAGAGGATCAGCAAGTGTTTCAATAATTTGGAAGAACAAGTTGAAACGTTTGCTCCTGTACAGATACGCACTCAAGAAGAAATTATGACGGACTGCCAGTAAGTGGTTTGAAGTACTTTTCTCTGATTGATTCTTCAGATTATCTTTGAAGATATCTAGTTTCATTCGTTTGTTTTGTTAGTGTGTTAGCTATTGCTCACCCACTTGACTCACCACTGCCAGCCAGTCGCTGAGGCAGACAGGTTCCAGACACGCAGGCTCGGTGGTCATGATAAGTACCCTGTCCCCATTGTAACCTGCACTGTCCAGTGTTTGGTCGTGGCCACGGTTCGATGCAAGTATTTAACACTAGAATTAGAGTCTAGGTGTCCTAGATCTATATTAAATTATCCTAAATTTTAATCCTTTTGATCTAATCTAGAATCTAGGGTTCTAGATTTCTGACTAGAGATGTAGATCTAGATTTAGATATTAGATCTATCTAGAATCTAGATCTAGATTCTAGATATATCTAGATCTAGACTAATTAATTGTCTGTTACTGTGTGCCTTATTACAGTATAATGTATTGGGCTATTATTAGAATAATTTAAATTTTAGATTTAGATCTTGACCTATAGCCTATAGTCCTATAGCCTGGCCTATGACGATTACTGCACTCTATGAGAAGTAGGTCCTTTAATCTAAAAGTCAGAGCTGTAAAAGTACTTTTAAAAAAGTACTTAAGTACAAATTTAAGTACAATCTAAAAAATGTACTTAAGTACAGTAAAAGTACTTTCCTGTAAAATGTACTTGAGTACAAGTACTTTTTAAAAAAGTACTTGACTTATGAGTACATTTTGAGTACTTTCTTGCTAATATGCTAAAACACTTCAGCGCTTATGCAAAACATCATACTAAATAACATATCCAGTATATTTGACAAATTAGGCTATTTATTACTAAAAATGTAAACAATATACAAAGCATTTGAATATACAATGTACGCACTGAACGGTGGAAATGGTCCGTGAAATTGAAAAAAACCCCAACCGAAACGAACAGACGCAACTAGTGGGTAAGTGATATTATGAATAGAACTTGTTTGAGCAAGACAATGTGATCAAATGTAAGTCAAAGTCAGTCCAAGAGGTCGGAAAGTTCTACAGAAAAAGTATCCAAATTGGAAAATGTAGAGACAAAGTTGCTCTTAAGAAAACATAAAATTTATGAAAATGGCCAGCATAGAAATGGAAAAGTGCATTGAATTTTTCATTAACAAATCCTCAAGGAATCAATGTAGCAGTAAGCAAAAACAAACAAAAAAAAAGTTTAAAAGAAATTTAGGCAGCCTAAAAAATTGTTAGATACACATTGGGAACACAGTTTCAGTTTCAATTGATTATAGATCTAGTGGTAAGACAGATTTTGGTCACACTGTATAGTCCACGGCCCCCACGGCAAACCAAAATACAGTAGTTTCCTAGAGTCTAGTAAGTGTAGTGTAACCAAAGATTCTCTACTGCAGTAGTCTTCGCCTAATAGGATCTTAGCCGACGAAGCCAAGGAAGAATTTACAGTGACCCATGAACTGGCGTGACCCCTGGGTGGATTTATGACATATGGCTAGCAAACAGTGGTCAACCTTGATGACCAATCACACTCACAGTGGCATGAGGCATGCCATAAATAATAAATATATAACACACTCATTAGCCTATCGTGAGTCTTGAGATCTTTATCTACGTTTATCCAGTTGCCCCTCCCTTTCACCAGTCCAACAATTTTAGCTTTCCATCTCTGATTGAGTCCCCCCCCCCCCCCCCCCAACCTCCTTTGTCGTTACGCACCATTACGTTGTGACCACACCAATTAAAATTTATGCTGTCTCGCAAATTCGGGAATAGAGAAAAACTGCTTTCAATGGTGAGGGAAGAGTTCACAGTTTGATGTGATCCCGCCTGGAGCGAACTTGTAGGCCTTACCCACCCAGGGAGTGATGTAAGTTTAGGTGGTGTGGTCAGATGCGAGTGCGATGTTTGGGGAAAAGAAACGCATCGGTCAGTTCACACCTTGGTGTGATCCCGTCTGGAGCAAACACTGTACCGTTTCATGGAGTTTTACAACGCTTGTGATCACATTCACGATAGTGGCTGATCTTTGACGCGACTTGCCGTTCTTTGATCTCAACTTTTAACTCTTGGTTGATCGGCTATGCCCGCCCGGGTGTTTGTTCCGTAAATTATGATCAGAAATGCCTGCACTTACCCTTTCATTAAGCTTCCAAAGTACTCAAAATGTACTTTAAAAGTACTCAAAAGTACTTTTATAAAAAGTATCGGAGTACAGTAAAAGTACTGGTTTAAAAAATGTACCGGAGTACAGTAAAAGTACCGAAAATTGTAACGTAAGTACAAGTACCGGAGTACTTGTACTCCGTTACAACCAGCTCTGCTAAAAGTAAATTTACACTGAAAACGTGAGAAGGCGAAGTAATGAGTCATAGGCCTAGATCTAGATCTAGATCCAAATATATATCTAGATTCTCGATTTGATTTCCAACCAAAGAATGGAGTCATTTTATTTGACATTTTACTGCATTGTGACCATGATAGATTCAGATCTAGACTTGAGCCTGAGTCCCTGAGTTAAGTAGCATAGGAGCATAGTAGAGGCCTAGATCTAGAAAAATCTACTACAATTTGTCATATCTTTCCTTTATCACTTCATATCATCTTTATTTATTAATTCACTGCTTCTTGAATCATTTTTAAGGCCGGCTCTATTTCTCCGAACGCTTGGGAAAATAAATTTGAACTCTATTTCTCCAAACAGTTTCCGTTCTCGAGATTTGTTGATACTTTGTGAATGGAGTGGCCTGCGCGCGTGTGTGTGTATGTGTGTGTGTAAGGTGTGAACGGGGCGGGGAAGGAATTTAATTTTTTTTTGGTTTACATGAAGGATTTTAGTTTTTGCTTTAGGTCTGACTAAATGCAAAATAGGCTACTGCCAAGGTCGAGCTCTTGTTTTCTCGCAGTCCCTTTTGAATGCATTTTCAAATGAAGTATACTGGGAACATTGCCCCAACTCCAACTGAAGTATCTGAATATTCTGACATTTAAAAATCTATAGCTCAAGAAATTGACTTCGATAGATCTACAAAAAATGCTTCTTCCCAGTCGTCGCAGAATGGCATTATAATGCAAGATGACGCCTAAATCTCTCTAATAACCCGAAAATCTCGAGAACGGAAACCGTTCAGAGATATAGATTATATCAAGTTTATTTTTCCCGAGCGTTCTGAGAAATAGTCACTTCATATATATATTTTTAAAGTCTCTTTTCTGTCTATGACAAATGTAAACTAGAGTCTATAGATATCTATGTTGTAGCCTAAAGTGGTTAGTGACAAATGTAAACTAGAGTCTAGAGATTTATGTTGTAGCCTAAAGTGTTTAGTAAGTCGTGTAGAGAAATGATGATTGGTCCTGGGTTTTTTTCACAGTAATTCAAAATGGACTTTTAAATAGAGTGAGTTTCCCTTCCTATTCTTTGCTTGTAACATGATGTTTTCAGGGGGGGGTTGTAACCAAAAGCTAGTCGAACCTGCTTTAACGGACACCTGTGTAAAACGGAAACCTGTCTTAACGGAATATCCCTGCTCCCCCATGATAAATTCCTCTTTCATTAAATATAATGGAAACCTGTCTAACGTGGAAATGGAAAGAAAAATCCGCTTCCTTCCAAGAGTTTTACCTGTCTTAGACAGAAAATGTTTTGCCTGCTCAGCCCTGATTTTAAACAAAACTCACAAGTTTGGTTCTGCCGGCTCCACTAAACTTAACGCCATGCTGCAGGGCGAGGAAGGGGAGTAGGAGTGCCACGCTTGAGTAGCGAGCCATCACGGAAACTTTCCTGGGTAGCCAGAAGCCAGAGGTGTGAAATTAGATTGACCAATGCCTGCCGCCCTGATCATACGGCCAGTAGAGAAAAGAGTTCCTCGAATCGTTGTTTATGGCAGTGAGGGATGGCATAGGTTGACTGCTTGTTACACTGATGGGTGGGGTTAAGGGTTGGAAGCAAAGGAGATGTTTAAATGTTTCTGTATTTAATAGGTCAAAGAGTGGTCCTCTATGAAATGCAAGCACTGGTGGTAATTGGGATATAAGACTGACGCATGTCATTCTCACAGAGGATTGTATTAGTTGAGAGGTGGGAAGTTTTGACCATTGCTTGCCCACTGGACAAGCGGCTCGGCTCTTGATCCCACTGGCTGAGCCTTTGAAACCCGTGTCCATCTCCCCCCCTAAATCCCCCTGTCTAAGACGACATTTTGTTCTGGCTCCCTTGCTGTTCCGTCTTACACAGGTTCCACTAGTTTTCTATATAGCTAAATGGCCATTTAATAATAATAATAATAATAATAATAATAATAAATAGCATTTAGCCTAATATTAATGAACCAAAGGTATGTCTAGGGTCATTCTTTTAAAGTTCTCCTGAATTATGAAGCTAGTTAAGTAGGTCTATGTGATTAAATAGTAGGCTAGACCTTTGCTATACTACTATTAGATATAGGCCAGTGTGATAACCATAAAACCACTCTTAATTACCCTATAACTTGCCTTTGCTGGAGTTTGTTTCCTATTCTCTTACACTTTCCCCCCTGTCTCACACTTATACTTATAGAACAGTTGTCCATTTTCTAAATATTGATGCGCTGAACTTTTGTATATCATTTTCATTTCCGTCGCAAATTAATAGTTTCTGAAATATTTATTAATGGTTTTTAATCAAGCAATATTGCACTAAGCCTAACTGCGTAATAATTTGCGCACTTTGGACCAATCGGGCGGTGTAAGTGGGGTTACAGTTTAACCCATAAATTAATATTATGCAGCTAGGTTTGAAATTTTCTTGAAAATAATTAATTTGAGAGTTTGAGCGGCTTTATAGTTTATGTGTGATCTGCAGCAAACAATACTGCAGTTTGACCCCCGAAGCAGCGCACTGTGTGCGGGAGTGAAAGGAAAAATGTGCCGTTTGTTTTTTATGGCATTGTTATTAAAATGCTCTGACATTTTGTGAATTCTCTCTGAGATTCAGATTCTTTCCCCA